AGAATTCTGAAGTTGTTTTCATTATTGTAATTATCAGGAAAATTGTTTTCTTGTTTTTGCCTACTTCGCTCTTCTGTGAAGCTGCCCTTTGTCATTTCTTATGGAAAAATAATATTCCGTCACAGCCCCTTTCAGCCCTAAATCCTATGATACGCTAATGTGTTGGTTCAGCCATTTTCCAATTGATGAATACCTACTTAGTTTCCAGTTGCTACAACCACCACAAAAAAAAAAAAAATACTGCTATAAATGTTTTCTACATATGGGTTCTAGGATTTTCCTCTTTCCTCCTCCAGCAGCTGCTGTCCATGATAGCCACTCCTACCCACCCCAAACCCCAGGTGGTCAAGCTCATCTCTCTGAGCCTCAGTTTCATCTCTAAAATGAAAGGGTTATACTAGATAACTAATCCAAGTGACTTGCCCAAGTTCATACAGCTATTTTAAATATGTTAACTCAAACTTGCCTGAATTAAAAGCTCAGAGGATGAAAGAACTTAGGTGAGGTCAGGTTGCAAATAAGAATTAAAATTTCCTTCAATTTTTATTTTATAGCGGTTGGGGTTAAGTGACTTGCGCAGGGTAACACAGCTAGTGAGTGTCAAGTATTTGGTCTGAAGTCACATTTGAACTCAGGTCCTCCTGACTTCAGGGCCAGTGCTCTATCCACTGCGCCACCTAGCTGCCCTGCTAAAATTTCCTTCAGCATACGTTTTTTCCAGACACCTGGTATGTTTGCTGGAATCAGATGCATCATTATTGTACCATCAATCTGTTGGAAAACGCATCTTTAAATGTTTGCAGCCTAATAAAATGTTTTGAGTGTATGTATTGTGGCTCTAGTCATTTCTAAATCGTACCTAAAATTTTGAAGTCATGTTTGGGAAAAGCAGAAGCTGCATACCATGTATGGCCCTGAATCAACTTAGGTCTAAACCATGGAATTGGAATGTCTTCCTATTAAAGCAAACCTGAGGTCTCTACTTATTTTATATTCTGGCTTTATTGTCTTTATACCTCACTAGCTTATTCCTAAAAATCAATCCAATCTTGGTAAGTGGTGATTATTCTTTTACTGAGCTTAGGCTAGGGTGAAGCAATGGGCTTTCAGTCAGGCAGACCTAAGTTCAAATTCAGCTTCATGCTTACTAGCTGTATGACCCTGGACCAGTCACTTAACCTCTGCCTCAATTTCCTCAGCTGTACAATGGGGATAATAATAGCACCTACCTTGCAAAGTTGTTGTGAAGATCGAAAGAGAAACTATTTGTAAAAAGCACTTAACACAGGGCTGCTAGGTGACATAGTAGATAGATCATTGGGCCTGAAGTCAGGAGGACCTGAGTTCAAATACAGCCTCAGACACTTAACTAGCTGTGTGACCCTGGGCTAGTCATTTAACTCCAATTGCCTTCCTTCCCCCACCCCAAAAAAAAGCACACATAGTAGAAACTATATAAATGATTATTCTCTTCTGCTTGTAGAATAAAGTAGCTCCCATGGAGCCGGTCGAACTGAAGAATTCTTAGTCCGATTTTCTGTCTCAAGTCTTTTTTATTTTTCCGGTTAACCTATTGTAAACCCTTGTTAATCCAGACCCTGTGATTTCATTGGTATGAGAGAATACCCAGAGGAAACTCCACCAACTGAAATGCAATGTAGCTGTAGAAAGTTGCCTGGGGCACTGTGAAAAGATGAAAATTAGGAGCTTGTCCTTTTAAAGGCAATGTCATCTGTATCCTAATGGACAAATGTTACTTGGAGGCGAGCAGAAGCCATCTTATGTAATACCAGCTTTCTGAACCTTAATGCTTGAGAACAGCCACACACAAATACTCTCTTTGTGCTCCTCTTAATGTCCATGGCAATAGGCTTTGTTTCAGGCTCCATTAATTAAACAGATGGCATACCAACCCAGAGGGGCCATATGTGGGTGCTAGTGCCTAAAATGCTTTGGTTCTTATAACAGTTTGTTTGCACCAATAGGAAAATGGAAGGAGTGTCCTAGTCTTACAACAGTGACATAAGTGATCTCCCACATACTCGAACACATACATCTGGGTATGTGTTTGCACTTTGGAAAACAGGGACCAGGGAGCTTGTGTTTTCAGATGTAAGTATTTACAATTCCTTAATCTCTTTCCAGTTCTAGGAATCAGGCAGGTATGGGAGGAGGAGGAAAGAAGGGAATGGAAGGAAAAGGCCTCTTGCAGTCAGGGTACAGTATAAGACTTTTTTTTTTTGAAAGATTTAATTTTGGAAGTTGTTTGAAGGTTGTTACCAAATGGTTGGTTAATAAGTCAAATATTATAAAACTGCCCAAATAAATTAGACTGCTGATCAGCTTTCATCTTCCCTGATGGCTGAATTGACTGTAAGGGTGAAAAGCTTATGGCCTATTCAGCTATCTTTCTTGCTCTATCCAGTAATTGAGAAGCAATGAATGTTGATCTCTTGCTATGAGCAAGAAAAATAATAGCAACAAGAATACTAAATAAAAGCTGTTGGCCTAGTGTCAACTCTCAATTTCTATATGAACTTGAACAAAGTATTTCAAAGTATTTCATCTCTTTTTTTTCAGTTTCTTCATCTGTAAAAAGAAATTGGGCAGATGACCCAACTCTAGACTTTGATCCTATGAACTTTCACCTCTTTTATACATCCTTGGATTTTCACAATAACCTTGTGTATTAGGTAAAATAGAGTACTAGAAAGAAATAGTGGTACAGATCCTACTAAAACTTACTACTCCTCCACCGCCTTCTCTCAGATGTTGGTGTTTCCTGAGTCTCTTCTCTTTTGAGGTGGCAGTCAATAAGCCAGTCAGCTTTCACTGGCAGGGTAGCTGTTGAGTCATCTTGGCCTACCTGTTGTCCCTCAGCTATTCAGCTGACACTGAAGCCTTTCAGAACTCTCTGGCCTATAGGAAGAGAACTCATAAACAATTAACACTGGCTGCCAAGCAGAACTTGACTTAATATTTCCACGTATGGTTTAGAACACAGATGTATGTATGCAAGAGCAGGCAGAGAAGAGTACAGGTTATTACAAGAAAGGGTTTGGGTTTGTTTGTTTTTAAATGACCAGTGTTCCTTTCTACAACAGCTACATCACACTGCTACCTTGTGGCCGACTAAGATATAATCAGTATCTAAGGTCCTTTCTAATTGTATGTAGGAGTCTTTAGTTAAAAATTTTTCATGGATTCTTTTCACTTTTACATCATTTCTGGATATAAACCTCCTCTGTTATACATACATATACACATTCACCTCCCTTGTAAGCAAGAAAAAGTTGAGCCAAACCACCAGGGTGCTGACTCCATCTGATATATACTACATTCCATCCTCAAAGTCCCTTCCCGTGTCTTTTTCAAATGAAATCTATCAAGCTAATTTTTCCCTGCCCAATATTTATGCCATTCATTTAGCAAACCTCAGTACAATGTTTTTACATTTTACACGTTGTACCAAAAGCCTCAATGCCGTTATAAGCTATTAGTTTCAGCCCACAGTCCCAGCCTATTAAAAAATCATTTTAAGTTTTGATTGTGTCCCCAAAAATATTACTTCTCTGAGCTTTGGAGTAACTGCAAATTTGTTAAGCATACCTGTTACATCTTCTCTAACTTCCTGATATCATGGCAACCATTGTGGTGTAACAGAAAGTGCACTAGCCTTGGAGTCAGAAAGACTTGAGTGTGACTCTGGGCAAGTCATTTACCCTCTGCCTGTCCCAGTTTCCTCATATATGAAATGGGGATAACACCCACACTTCAGGATTGTTGTAAGGATCAAATAAGATATTTGTAAAGCACTTTGCAAATCTTAAAGTGCTACATAAATGCTAGTATAGTAGTAGCAGTAGTGGTGGTGGTAGTAGTGGTGGTGGTAGTAGTAGTAGTAGTAGTAGTAGTAGTAGTAGTAGTAGTGTATGGCTGTCAAATCACTTCTCTATGCCTGTTGTCTCACCTGTAAAACAGGAAACGGCCCACTCTACTTACCTCAGTAATTTTTGTAGACCTTAAAATTCAAGTTATGTTGAACAGACAAGAAGGTGTCCATCAGAGTTCTGTGGCCCACTAACTATAGACTTCCATCCAAGGCTATTTATTATTCATCATTCTCTGGAGTCATTCATTATTAATAGTATTATATGCTTTAAGGTTTGCTAAGTGCTTTACAAACATCTCGTTTTATCCTCACAGTAATCCTGGGAGGTAGGTGCTGTTATTATCCCCATTTTACAGATGTGGAAACTGAGACAGAGGTTAAGAGATGTGTCCAGAGTCACACAAGTCTTCATGACTCTTGAGCCAGTGCTCCATCTGCTGAGCCAAGAAGTTAGCTGCCTGAAGCTAGTAAGCTACTCATCAGTGTTATCCTCCAAATCATGTTTCCTCATCTTGTTCAAGATGATATCCTGAGAGATTTCCAAGTGTCAAGTGTTCCCTACTTATCAATATAGGGATTCTATTAAAAGTGGACATGTTGGGGATGACTTTTCTCAGCAAACACTTTCTGGCTCCTAGCAATCACCTCTTTCTTTTCCATGTGCTTACAAATCATCTGTTTAATAATCCACCTTCGAATGTTTTGCCTAAGATTTTATCAAACTAACTATCCTTATAGTCTCCACCAGCCACCTTTTCCCATGTAAAAAAATCTGAGTTTCATCCGTCTCTAACCTTTTAAAGACACTTTTCTTATGATTTCTCAGACTGCCCAAAGTAGTTCATGACCATGACTACTATTCCTCTCAGTGCCCTGGACTGCAGCTCATGCGGGTCTGATAGGAGACTGATTTCAAGAGTGGCACTTTTCTCTTGATATGCCATCCAGTTTAATAGTTATTAAAGTAGGTAGAAGATAGAAAAAGCAGAATTCTACAAAAGGTGCCCCTTTACCACTTCTTGGACGTCAGACCTCCTTTTTCTGTGCCTCTTCTTTCAGCTGATTCCACTTAGGCATCCATTTCCTCTAGTGTGGACATCATGATCAGATGCCTAAAAAAGACGTTACTGTTCCACAACCTGGAGTCACCTAAATGGAGCCCAGCAGAGGTTGCGGTAAATACTGTCAGGATTTGGGGTAGAGATAATTGTGGTGGGAAGTGAAATGAGATTTATCATCATGGGTTTCTGCAGAAATGGAGCCAATTGAAAAAGGATCCTGGGTTTGCAGGACAGTTGACACTGGAGGTTTTTTCCTGGGTTGTAGTCTACATTCAAATGAATAGGCATTTTATTAAGTGCACCAAGATGGTGGGGACCCTGCCTGGCTAAAACAGTGATGGATGTCAAAAACATTCAGTATTTGGCTAGACAGAGGTTAACTATAGACTAGGGCAGAGTCAAGACCTGGCCTAAGCAATCGTACTGTGATATTTGTTCCCCACTCTTTATGTCACTTGACTATCTTGTTTTTCACCACAGAGCAGAGATGTTCTAAGACCTTACCAGTATCAGCTTCTGAAGTAAGCCAGTTTATCAGCAACATAAGGAGAAATAGAGGCTACAGACAAACTAATTAACCCGTTCATTATGGGTCCAGTTAGCTGTAGGGCTTGGTTTTGTTCATGGATCGCTACAGTCTATCAGATAAGTAAGGAAACTTGAGATAGCTCAAGTTTCGGTTTTGGGAACCTGGTATGACAAGACCACTTCCTGACATAATTACAAATAAATGGTTGTCCACCAGAGCACATCCTGAAAGATGGTTGTATTCCCAGGTGCCGGGATGTGAACTCCGGCATTATGAGCCTGGCATATGGGCCAGCACTGTGATCAGAGGTGGGAGCCAGAAGGAGGCACTTCGTCAAGGGTTCAGGAAACTACTCCACTACATCCAGGGAGAGAATGAGACAGGTATCCAGCTGTTCAACCCCCAAATTCTGCCCAAAATGACCTTTCTTACCACTGCAAGTGGTATTCCTAAATCAAGAGCTGGGCTCCATAGACAAGACCAACTATGCAGAAGGCCTGAGGCCATTCAAGTTTCTATCTCCATTTGGGCTACAAAACCAAATGGCATTTATCTCAGATTTTGCCCTTTTCTCTTAGAATAAACTGCTACCATTACTGGAAGGCAGGTTTTGCAGTTGAGGTGACTTAAGGTGGTGACCAGTACTAAGTACCCTAACAGGTAACTGATAAGGTCTCACCATAATTAGGTAGGTTCTTCAAGCTTTCCTGGTTATAGCCAGAGTTTGTTTTAACACTGCTGACATCCTTACAGCACCCTCTAAATCCAAATTAATGCTTGATCATTGTGGAGTGGCATTGCTTTTATGCCCAAGGTGACTGTTCTTAAATTATAATTAAAGTACTACGCTATTATTAGTCACATTCCAGGTCTACAAACCAGACTAACAGCTTCTTGTAACTGTGTCCCAGATACCCAGATAGTTAATTGGTGCTTTTACAATTTTCCACAAATTGACTTTTTTTGTTAGCACAAATACAAGAATTTGTATTACATGTATACTCAATAACTGGCTTGGGCTAAATTTCCCTGAACAAAAGGACTATTATAAAAGACTTTTTCATACATAAATATATGTAACCGTTACTGCACTATGCTACCATACCATAGACCAGCATCTATCCAGATACAGGTTAAGTGATTCACCAAAACATCCAAAACCCTCTCCATCACCTGCTTCTTGGAAGATTCCCAATGCAAGACCATTCATTAGATGCCTCTTCAACTAATGCCCTTCCGTGGTTTTAGCAGGATATATGTAGGTCACTATTGAGTTTTTTCTTACCAGAGACTAAGATTGAGATGACAGTGCCAGTCACCTGCCGGGTGCAGCCTGGCACCACTGAATACAAGGTTTCCTTCTTTGTACCAACTAAGCATCAGAATTCTCCACCAGAGCCCACAGACCCGGATGTGTTCCTTGAGCAGAGGAAAGGAGCAGCCGTTTTTGTCAGGTAGCTATTTGGGCTTCCACTTCAGCAAGGTAGAGGTCCCTTTGGCTTGGAAGTACGATGTGTCATCAGGACTTCATCCTACATTGTACTAGTTTCAATCAACACTGTATCCCTAACAGAATGTCAATTTAAGGTGCCGTGACTGAGGCAAAGACCTTTTCATCTTATTACAGGTCTTTTGGAGGATTTGCTTCTGTGGAAAAATTCAGCAAAGAAGCAAAAGCTCTGGCAGATACTTTGCAGAAAGAGGGTCAATCCTTTCATTCTGATTTCTACTATACTGCTGGTTATAACAGCCCTTTTACACTCTTCAACAGACATAATGAAGTTTGGTATTTCAAGAAAGAAGAGATAGAAGGGTTGTGGGTAAGGGCTTAATCTTTGTGCTGACTTAAACCATAGCCTTAAAACTACCCCCACCTTTAAAACTAGACCTATGCTAAAAAAAAAAAAATTATACCTATGTTTATGCAAAGTGGTGGCAGTTTTGGGGGGGAGGGGCAAGAACGCCTTCAGTGGCTTCATCTCCCAGAGCTAGATTCCCTGATTAAGCGACAAAAATTTCTAGGCCATCCAATTCATCTTACAAATGTAAGGATACCTAATATAAAAATGGTACAACTCACAAACCTAATTATGGGAAATGGGGAGGGGTGAAGTTAAATAAAGGCCCAGGCAGTCATATTGTGGAAAATATTTTGAGTTACAGATGGCAAAGAACTTCCTTGGAAAAATTGGCAAACTTCTAGTCTAATGGACACTATGAAGAAAACCTGGGCACTCGACCTCAACTGGCATTGACTTGCACCTTGTGAATGTGTATGTACCTGCAATTTCCTTTCAAGTTCTTTTATTTTCATGTCAAATGAGATAATATGTACAGTTTTTGCAAACTTAAAGTACTCTATAAAATTCTAGCTTTTATTGTTAAAAAATTGGTTACTTTAAAAAATTTCCTAGTTACTCAAAATGACTAAGCTCACTCAGTGAGGCTTTTGATACTCACTTTAGCTAATGTCACTTAAATGTTCTTTCCTTCCAGTATACCTCATAGTCTATAGAGTGGATGCCAGAGATCATCCTTCCCTTTAATGGTGCTAAGTGAGCTAAGCTTTCTATCTGAAATTCAGTTGTTTTTAAAGAAATATCATGACAGCAATTAATGTACAATGTCACTTTATTAAAATTCTGTTGTGTACACTTTAATAGCATACTGGTGTTTTGTTTCACTTCTCAGATCCCCAAAGAGGTCCAAACCTGTAAATGCAAAAAAAAGGCTACCCTTAGTTAAAAAAAAATTAAAAGATACTTTCCCCCCAATTTTGTCCTAATCAGACCTTAGTTTCTCATCACTTTATCAGTGAGAGAGTTCAAGTAAAGGATGATGTCATCATATTCTCAAGGGCAGGGCAGGGATTTACTGTTCTCCCCCCTCAACTTACTTGGAAGTTGGGCCAGCAGTCTCATTTGTGTGAGGATTCATCGGAAGTATTCCTATATGAAATAAACAGTAAAATTAGCCAAAGCTTTTGAATGCATGCATCAACATTTATTTTTGTAATAACCTCAGAAAAAAAAATGGAACGGTTTATGGATGAAATCATAGCCATTTCATTTGGCAGAATCATTAACATCACTGGTTAGAAGTTCCCACCCAAAAGATCAACAAAATCTAGTTTAAAAAGGTCTTACCTTCCACAGTATTCAAGTTCCTGAGGTTTCTGCCACATCTATAAAAGAATGACAAAACTTTAGAAGGTTTCAACTTGGACATTTGGTCTCTCCTACCATGCAGAGAATTCCCTATTTTGCCATGTCTCCTTAGATGTGAGCAGCTTTCCCCACACCCTCACATTCCAGGTCATTTCTAGCCAAAACCTCATGTAACTTATGCAATTCCTAGTAATTAGTAAGATAATGTCACTGCATTCATGTTTGCAAATGTAACCTCAGTGTAAAAAAATGGAACGGTTTATGAATGAAATCATATTCTATCATTTGGCAGAATCTTTTACATCACTGGTTACAATTAAACAAAATACCCAATTGGATGAACTAAAATGATTTCACTTACTTGTTTTTCTCCAATCCCTTGACATTTTATGCTGGAAAAAAAAAAAAGGCACATTGCAATCAGGGCAAGCCAAAGTTATCCAAAGAAAACAGTAATAAGAACCTATAAGAACCCTATTCTAAGAATATTTACTATAAGGCAGTACAGCATAACCGCCACAATTTAAAACAACTTTCAAATCAAAATAGTATTTGGTTGTAATTTAATACCTGTAAGTAGGTATTAAAGACAGTCCTGGCATCTCTAATAAACAGATACATCAGATAGGAGCGAAAGACAAAAGCAGTGTTCACCACCATACAATCTGCTGAACTATGTTATCATCATTGTATCAGCTTTGAGACACCCCTTTAGCTTATTTTAACCAAGTTGCAATTTCTCAAATTTTATTAAAATTACATTATAATCACCTATTCAGCATCTTCACCTTTGGCTCAGGACAGACAAGACCATTATCAATAGTAATTCAGATAAATTCATTTTCATCTGTCAAAAAATAATGGGAGTTAAGTTCTTGTAGAATTGTCCAGTCTATACATGTTTTCAAAAACTGTACTGTTTCAGAAAAAGAAAATCCTCATTCTTTTTCAGAGAGATTCCCATTGTTTTACTATACAAATCATCACTAACAGTACAACTTTACAGCCCCATACCATTTACAGATTGGCCTATATATCCTTTTCCTTGAACTTCATAGGAAAATGACAAGCCATTTGGATTAGTCTTAATCACTAATTCATTAGTAAAAAAACCAAGCCTTTGGTACTTGCTTTTTCAACTAGGACCTCCTTTAAAGGTCAGAATTTTACATGCAAAAATGGGTACCCATTTGTAAAATGGGTTAACTACAGCCCAGACTGCATACCAAAGAAATCAAACCAAGTGCTATAGCTCCTTCCACCCCCTCCTACACGTATTACAGCAAATATTAAATTGTTTTTTTTCTTTAAACTAGGAAACAAAAGTCCTTGAAGACATCTGGATAACATAACCAATCACTGGACACATTTCCCCAAAACTACCCAGTTAATACCAGTATTTAGTCTCCTTACCCATTTCAAGTGATAATCACAGCAACTGGACAGACCAGGGAAACCTAAATGAAAAGTTTACATTAAATGTAACTTTGTCACAGAGAAATGAAAGTTGTGCTTAATTTGTTACAGGGCACTTCAGTGCTACGATTTATCTACATGCTGATTTCAGGTCAGACATTTGAAGACATCATTATAAACCCTGTTAAGCGGCTTTAGAAAACATTTTAGTTTCCAAAAATCCTCGCAAAATCCAAATTGAATATATTGCTATACATTTTGGAAAATGCCCTTTAAATCTCAAATGATCCATACAGCCTCACTAGGTAGTTGTTACCTACAAAATTATTCCCATTTTACAAATAAATCCCACTGTGGTTAAATAATTTATGGACTTTTACATAACTAATCATGTTGAATCTGAAACCAACTGTTCCTGAATGAGTAAATGGTATCAATTCAACTGTCTAATGGATATCTCTTAAAAAAATATTCACTTACAAAATCCAACTGCAGCAACCTCAAGATTCAGTTGAAGCCTAAAAGAGATCAATTTTAGTTAAGTAACAGTCAAACAGGAAGATGCATTTAAAGTTTAAAGCAATGCCTGAATTCAGTTAGAGCTAATTAGACCTCCATGGTAAAAGTCAGTCTATTGGCTTATCATCATACAGGCTTTGAGACTACTGGTCAACTTCCCAGAAATTCAGCTATGAAACTAGGACATCACTTTTATTTCCTAGGTAACAGGAAATTAAATGTTAATAGCATTTTAAAATTTTATTCTACACTGTGTAATACCAGCAGAACTACTGCTCCCTAAACTGGTGAACTAACCTTGAACACAAATATCCTAATCAACAGTCAAAAGTATCACTTTTTATATTGTTGGTTTTAACAAATCCAATTATACAAAAACCTAACAAGGGCACAACCAACCTCAGGCATTATTAGCATCTTTACTGAAAGGTTTTAGAAGGATCAAGCTGAGTGCAATTTTTTTATCCATAAGGATAAAAGAGGCAAAATTAAAATTTTTGCTTGAAAGTAAAACAATAAGCTATTTCAACTGGTATTCCTGGTGTTTCTAGTGTTAATTTTGTCAAACTTATAAGTTTTGAGTATTATAGGCCTCAAATAGCTTTTACTCATTCATGGCACTTGAGCCCAGCTTCTGTGATCTATTTTGAATGGCTTTAGCTCTTACCATTTCTATTTCCAGTTGTCAAGTTCCTAGAGGTAAAAGTGGGGAAGAAAAAAAAAGGGGGGGGGGTTTAATTCCTTTGATTGTGTGGAAATTTTAGCAAATTGTTTTTTTATAAGCCAGACACATCAGACAATAAGGTTACGTATTCTTCATTATTCTATCTGCTGAACTATGCAACCATCATAGTATCTGTTTTACTGTTATCATTTAAGTAAATAGTGAATATACAAAGAAAACTTAGCTTAGTCATTACCTGTCTGCCTGTAATTATAATACTTGGGAGCCTAGGGATAGAAATAAATAGCATTAAGTAACTATTTCCTTGTATTCACATTTCCAAATAAGTACTGTTTGAGTGCTTCAGGTTAAGAAAAAGGTGGTAATAGTTCTCATCATATTCATGATCAAGAGTAGCAAATAAAAACTCATCATTAAAGCACAGTTGTTTAATGCTTTTGAAAGCTTTGAGGTTGGGCCAAATGCTAAAATGGCAAGGCACTATTTCCCAAAGCTGCATTTTCACTCAAATGTATTCAAGACTTACATCAGCACCAGCAACTTCATCCATGATATGTAACTGCAATACACAGAAAAGGATTCAATATTGCAAAGAGGCAAGTTGAATGCAATCACTATCCCTCAATATCAAAGCCTCAGTATATTATTGTCAGAAATGATTTCTGTCCACTACTCTTAAACCATCATAGGCTTCACAGTTTTGGGAATCTCCCAACACCTATTCATCCAATACTACTGCTTTAATATTTAGGTCAACTGATCACACAAGGCAGCTTGAGTTGTTACAGAGAACTAACATTTGAGATATTTGTTAAGTGCCCCACAAACCTTAAAGCACTATATAAATGCTATTTTTGAGCAGTAATTATCATAACTAAAATTAACTACTATTTATTCGTCAGGCACTGCACTAAGTACTCCAAGAACTCAAGACTGTTCAGACCCTAGTCCTTAAAGCTCCCTTAAAGCCCGTCTTTCCAACATAGCTTGCCTTTAAAATCTGCAAGGGACATACTCCTTCGGCTTTTCTCAACTCCATGCCTAAAAAAAAAAAAAAAAAAAAACAAAAACAACGTTTTGTGTAAACCAATCTATGCAAATATCGACTCTTAAATTACATAATCGTGACTAAACTCCCCACTTTTAAGGGGAAAAATTGTCTGCAAGGCGGATGGCCAAGCAATCACGCGTGGACTCCCGATCCAGCGCGGCTCCAGCCGCCGGGTTTTCCCGCCCAAACTCGCGCGCCTAGAGCACGTGATCCGCCGGTTTCAGCCCTAGACGCCGGAGTCACTAGTTCATTTTGCGCAGTTTCTTAAGGCAGTAAATGAGGCACCAGTGAAAGGCCGCCGTCGCCGGGCCCCTAGGGCGCCACGTGGCCCTCCCTCTCGGGCCCTCCGCAGCCCCCCTACGCTGGCTCGGCCCTGGCCCCGCATCAGAGACGTTGGCATTCATCATCAGTCTCAGATGTCCCTACCAACGTTGCTTTCATCACACAGAGCAAGGCCTGAAAGCCAAACGCGCCCTCCCCTAACGGCGGCCTCAGGACCCCGGCCTAAGCCGGTGAGCCCTTTCGGGCTCTTCAGCCTCGATCCCCAGGATGGCCCCGAACCAATCCGGAGCCACCCAACGTCTTCAAGACTCGGCTAAAAATGAGCTCGCCTCCTGGGGCGCGGACGTGGGCGTAGGCCCACGCGAGAACCGTCAAGACCCGCAAGAATTTGGGCCGCACCCTGCTTACCTGAATAAAAGGAGGAGCAGCTGCCTCGGAAAGAGCGAGACACGGCAGCGAGGCCCTTTATATAAAGGCGGCGTGACGTCATGACGCCCCCCCCCGCCGGCGTCCGCCCCGCCCCGCCTCTGCCAAAGAGCGGCAACTGAAGGCCCGGGCTCGTCTTCGCCTTCCCTCTCGCCATGTCCACCTGCTCCTCCCCCTACCCCTCCCCCGCCTCCTCCGGTCCACGAGTTCGTGGCCCCTCCTCCAGCCCGCGGCGGGAGGGCGGGACTCGCGGGGGGCACGTGACGCAGGGCTGTGGCCTGGGAAGCGGAGCAGAGAAGAGCCGAGGAAGGGGGAGGGGGGAGGAGTGGAATGGGGGAGGGGGCAAATGAGGAGGAGGAGGAGGAGGATGGGGGGGGTGTAAGGGTGAGTGATTTCCTTCCGGCACGTCGCCCGCTCGGGGGGAGGGGGCGGGGGGTTTCACTTCCGGGACGGTGTTCCGGCCCATTCCGGCCCATTTCCACCCCCGGAGGTAGGTACTGCTCCTCGGCGGGGTCCGGGCCCCCCCTCTCCACCCCGGCCTCCCCCCTCCCTCCCTCGGCCCGCTCGGGTCCGCCCCACCCCGTTCCCCCCCCCTCAGCCCGACCCTGGGGGGGCCCGACCCCGGAGCTCGGCACGACCTTTCTCGCCCCACCCCACCCCCTCCTCTCCGCCCCGTGAGCGGGCGGACCCGCCCCCCCGCCCGGGGCCCCTCCCTCCAGACCCCCCGAGACCCGCACCCACCCTGGCAGCAGGCGGGCACTGCTCCCTTGCAGCCACACCCCACCCCGCCCGAGCTAGAGCCGCTGGGGGGACGCCCCCTCCCGGGGGCAGCCCCCTGCTCCCTCCCGGCTGACCCGCCCCTGTGCCCACCGCCCCGAGCTGCCCACCCCCCAGTGCCCCCTCGCCTACTCCGCCCGTCTGCAAACTGAACACAACTCCGCGGCCCCGCGGGACCCCCAGCCACGCAAGGCAGAGACAGACAGACTTTTCTCCTGGGGATTCCTTCCTCCCCACTTGGGAGTTGCTGGAAAAAGGAAACAACCATCACCACACAAAAAAGCGCTGGTATAGGCTCCAAAATAAACACATCTGAATTCATTGTGGCATCGGCCGGGCTCTTTGAATTACATGTTTCAAAACAAACACAAATAGGCTTGGGGGGCAAGGGGGAGGTCAAATTGGATAACAGCGAGCTTAAGAAGTGGCAACCACATAGATAACTATCTATCTATCTATCTATCTGTCTATCTATCTATATACACGCCTTAGCAGGGAATGTAGGGCTTTCTTGGAAATGTAGAGCAGCGTGGTGAGGCCACTTCGTAAGTAGAGACATACTACACGAACAGGTAGGTAGGTAGCTGCACACTTGTGTTCAGACCAGTGCACCCCGTCTGCGCTTCATGTGAAACGATTTTTGACTATCAGCCTTAGTTTCCAATGAGTTTGAACACAATTTCTTAAAACTTAGAAGTTTTCTGAAGTAGTCTAGGCAAAGGTTCATCATATTATAAACCCATCACAAAAAACTCCCAGGTTTGAATTCTCATAGGGGTGAGTCTGCCCAGCCTTTCCAGAGCTCTTGGAGATAATAGTACTGCTCTTCATCTTCACTGTGTACTCCAGTTACCTATGGCACTTTTCCTAAAACAAGAGTTGCCTTTGTGTCCTAAGCCAGCTTTTTCAGGAGCTGGCTGGTTTACTTGGGAAAACTAGCATATCTTTAAATAGGTTATTAGTCATACCACAAAATATTTTACATAGGTTAAGGATCGCAATAAAATGTTCACAGGTGCCTGACAAACCTTAGTTAATCAGAATCTCTCTCAATTTTTGTGTATCCTTGCTTATTTGTATTATCTCATCCCCCCAAAAAAAGTTTTGTCCATTTTTTCATCTATCTTGAAAAAATTAAAAATGCATACATGTAAAAAGTCCAACATTTAAATGCTTTATTCTTTCTCTGTTGAACTTGTACATCAAAGTTGAAGTTACGTAACTATTAATAAAGATAGCGTAATAATAGCCTAAAGATAGTGTAATAAAAGTCCAAAGTTTCTTTCCAGGTTTCATGGTGACTTACCACAAACCCTGGAGTAGTAGACATAACCTTTTAATAACTGCTGTTTTTGCATTTAGATCTACAGAAAGTAACTTTCTTCTCTAAAGGCATTTTGAAGTAAAATTTCCAAATACTTGTGTGATGTAAAGTACCCTGGGAATGTAGTCATGGTTGGTAGTCATTATTCCTATTTCCTCTTTCAGCAGGGCTGAAAGCCTGTACCACCAGGCACACCATGGAGAAAGGTGGGAACATACAGTTGGAGATCCCTGACTTTAGCAACTCAGTCCTGAGCCACCTCAACCAGCTGCGCATGCAGGGTCGTCTCTGTGATATTGTGGTCAATGTGCAAGGACAGGCTTTTCGGGCTCACAAAGTTGTGTTGGCTGCCAGCTCTCCCTATTTCCGGGACCATATGTCCTTGAATGAGATGAGCACTGTCTCCATATCAGTCATCAAGAATCCTACTGTTTTTGAGCAGCTCCTTTCATTTTGTTACACTGGGCGGATATGTCTGCAACTGGCAGATATCATCAGCTACCTAACAGCTGCCAGTTTCCTACAGATGCAGCACATCATAGACAAATGTACACAGATCCTGGAGGGTATACATTTCAAGATTAATGTAGCAGAAGTTGAGGCAGAATTAGGCCAGACAAGGACAAAGCACCAGGAGAGACCCCCAGAATCTCACAGGGTTACTCCAAATCTAAACCGCCCCCTTAGCCCACGTCACAATACACCAAAGGGGAGCCGAAGAGGCCAAGTTAGTACGGTGCTGGACATCAGGGAGCTAAGTCCCCCTGAAGAATCAACCAGCCCTCAGATAATTGAACAGAGTTCTGATGTGGAGAGCCGGGAGCCCATTCTTCGGATTAACCGAGCAGGACAGTGGTATGTGGAGACTGGGGTGGCTGACCGGGGAGGTCGAAGTGATGATGAGGTGAGAGTTCTTGGAGGAGTGCGAATCAAAACTGAGAATCTGGAGGAGTGGCTTGGGACGGAGAATCAGCCCTCTGGAGAAGATGGGAGCAGTGCTGAGGAGGTTGCCGCCATGGTGATCGATACAACAGGCCATGGGTCAGGAGGACAAGAGAATTATGCCTTGGGGTCTTCAGCACCCAAGGCCACTCGGCCAACCAGCAGTGAAATGGACAGGTAAGGTTTCTTTTGTGCATTTCCTGACTGTCACTCAGGTACCACTGATCCAGGCCATCTCTCTGGCTTAGAGAGCATCTACCCTACCTGTTGTTTAGACGAAATAAGAATTGACTCTGTTGGGGAAATTGGAGGTGTGCCAAAAGACTTGCATTCTTATTTTTTTAAAGCAGGAAGCTCCTAGTCCTGAAGTATTCACAGTGTTGTGAGAACTATGGTAAAGTTAGACACTTCCATGAATCAGAATAGCATCTGCAGCCACACTAGCATCAGTAATTGCCAGGGCTTCCTCGGATTCGAGGCAGGGAGCTGACCGTCAGCTGGGAACCAGGCGGCCTTTCCCTTCCTTGGTATGTTATCACACAGGTAGGTGGCTTGGGGGAGTTTCACTTTCTTTGTAGCCCTGCTTCACTTTCCTTTAGCCACCGCCTCCAGAGGAGGCATAGGTATGGTCCTGGTGATTCTTTGGCTTTCAGTGGGTAATAGTGTGGTGCCAAGGAGATTCTTTTGGGATTGTTTTTTCATTTCTTTCTCAGCCTGCCATTTGAATATATTTTCTGTCTGGCCTTGATCAGTGGCTACTGCTGCCAAAGGCCTAACCATTTCATTATTTTTTCCTCTTCGTTTCCTCACTTTTTTCTTTCTGAAATATTTATATATGAGTAGCTAAGGACGTATCTTTAAGGGGGAATGAGCACAGGTGTTAATAATCAAATTAAGTTGAAAGTACATTAAGCATCCTCCCTCACAATTTAGATTGGTTAAATGCAATCTATTTTTTTCTCCTGTTGATAAAAAACAAATTTTGACTGCATAAATAGCAGATCTAAAACATGTTCCGACCTTGTTGTAGAGATCAGTAAGTGCCACAGAAATGCAGATAATCCATGACCTCTCGTTTCTTCAGATGGTCACATTTTGGATGTTTTCTCTCCTTTGTCCCTTTACTCATGGAGCATATATAGATATGTAAACAGCACTCTTTATTGACGTAGTGATTTCTGTCCCCCAAGGTTTGGCCAGTGAGAAAAGTAACTGGAGTTTTAATCCAAGTGACCTAGAAGTTGATTTAGCTTCTATCACTTACTCATTAATCTGATTTTTTAAAATATAATTTGTTGGTATTGATCTCTTACTAATTTAAAATGTAATTGGTCACACAGACAAAGTAACGGGCCCAGAATTGTAGACCTAGCTTTAATTTTGGCTCCTTGCATCATTTTACAGATGTCTTCATGTTTTTCTAGTACTGCTATTGTGACATAAGCATTCTACTTTCATGTTGTTCCTCAGTGTCATTAGGTCATTATGTGCCATTGATCTCTCATTCTGCAAAATAATTTTTCTTTAATTTATTAGACCAAATGTGATTTCTTAACTTCAAGTCAAAGTCTACCCAGTGTAAGCATTTCTCAGTTACCATGCTGAAAATCATCATACTGTTCCATGTGCTTTCCCTTTATTATCCATAGACTAAGGGAATGACCTCATCACGCAGAAGCTCTTTAACATTACCCTTCTGTTACCCCATTTATGCTCCTCTGCCGACAGATTTAGCCCTTCTGGCAGTGTTGTCACCCTGACTGAGCGACACCGAGCCCGAAGTGAATCTCCTGGGAGAATGGATGAGCCTAAGCAACCCAACTCCCAGGTATGTAGTGACAGATCTGAATGACTTTGTTGAAATTTAAAAATGCATTTTGGGGCAGCTAGGTGGCAAAGTGGATAGAGCACCAGCCCTGGAGTCAGGAGTTCAAATGCGGCCCCAGACACATAACACTCACTAGCTGTGTGACTCAGGGCAAGTTACTTAACCCCAATTGCCTCATCAAAAAAAAACAAACAAAAACAAAAAAAACGCATTTCAACAAGTACAGTGCAATCCTTTTAAGTTGTCAACCCTTTTGATCACCTTGGGAAATCCTTGGTTACCATTGTTTTTGAATTAATGGAAAAATAAAGGTTGAAAAGAGAAGGGTTCTTAAATATTATATTTAATGTTCTCTCATTATTTCCAAACACTTGTTCTACAACACTCAAAAAAGGTGTTCTTTTGGTGAAGGTTAAAGTTTGAGGAGAAGCAGTAGGAATTGAGTGTGGCATTTCTTTTGGAATACAGGGACCATTTGTGTCCTTGGAGAAATTAAACCTACTTCTGACAAAGTACATGCAAGAAGAGTCAGACTTAGTGGCCTTTCTAGTAGGTTATGCATTTAAATGAAGGAATGAATGAAAAGGCATTTGTTAAGCACTTGCAATTCGTGTTCTTGTATATTTTTATTTGTATTGGACTTATCTCCTCTAATAAATTGTAAAGTCCTAGAGAACAGGGACCATGACTTCTGTTTTCTTTGTAATTAGCCACAGAGCATTGTTCTGTTTCTTGACGGGGAGCACTGTATAAATGTTGGACTTGTTGCTTATGTGTGAATGATACTCACGTGGTAGGCCAACTGAGGACTGCAAAAAGCATGTGCCAAGTAAGGACATACAGTGACTTTTGAGCGGTTCTGTCATTTTTCTCTGGCCATTTACTTAGAAAGTGAAGCAGTGAAGGGTTCTTTAAAAAATAATGTCATGTGAAATAGTGTGAGAGCTGCCCTGGCTACCACTTAATAGAGGAGAGGCAGTATGGCCTAATGGATAGAGTGCTACACTTGGTTTCCAGTTGGACCCCAGCAGGTAGTAGCTGTGTGATCCTGAGCAAGCCATTCCTGTCTGTGAGCTTCAGGTCCTTTATTTGTGCATTGGCACCAACAGCCCACCTTGTAGAAGTGTGAGGAAAGTGCTGCAGAAACATTAATGTTCCAAATAAATGTGAGTTATTATCAACTTCTTGCACACTGGTAATATTTTGTTCAATCTGTAGCTGTTGCTAGAATCTCATTTTTTTTTTAAACTAGACTTGCATTTTGTTATGGAGAACTCACAATGAGGAAGTATGTCTACCAATGCAGATCAGCACCTGCCCTTCAAGTTTCTGTCTTGGAGAGGTGCCGAGAGGACCTACCTCTTACTTAAATAAGTATTTGTACTATGTTTATGGTATCAGAAAAAGGAGTTGTCACTATTACCTTTTCTTCTGAAGTTGGAAAAAAACAGCAGGAAATTAGAGGCACAAAATAAAAGCTTTGTTCAAGTGATAGTCACATTTGGACATCTTTTTTATTTCCTCCAACCTCTAAAGAAGGATATAATTTCTGTATAAAGATTACTGCCCTGCAAATAAAGATGTTAATAAGCAGATTAGCGTCTCACTGGAAGACAAAGACCACTATCAATAACTAATTCATTGGAATACTTAAGTAGGACCAAAGACTCAATTGCACACCAGCGTGCATCTTCCAGAGTTTAAATCTGGCCTCAGACAATTACTAGCTGTATGACCCTGGGCAAGTCACTTAATTCTGTTTGCCTTAGTTCCTCATCTGTAAAATGAGCTGGAGAAGGAAATGGCAAACCACTCTAGGATCATTGGCAAGAAGACCCCAAAAAGGGGTCACAAAGAATCGGATACAACTGAGACGGCTGAACAACAACATGTATGCAGTCACAAGGTTGGGGAAAGATAGGGTGAATTCATCTGCTTAAGACAGACTTCATGGAAGAGTTTCAGCCACGCTTTAAAAGAAAGAGGTAGGTACAAGTTGCTTGCTTCAGGCGTAAGGCCTAACCTGAAATATTGAAATGAAAAAAGGTAGAAATACATTAAGAAGACTTTCCTGACTAGATGCAGATGGGGGTGCAGGCTAGGAAGAAGCAAGCAATAAGTGACTCTGGAAATGAAATTAAGGATCATAGCATTTAGAGCTACAGAGGAACCCTAGAAATTATTTAGTCCTGCTAATAATGGTCTGTATATACAGTGTTCCAAAAGTCTTAGTATTGTTTTAAGCTTCAAGAGAGCACATATGTATATGAAGGATTATTCTGAGGAGGCTGCTCACCTGCTTTTCTCCATTTCCGCAGAAAACCAAATAAGGAAATGAAATTTATAGTAAAACTGTAGTAAAACTGAACTATTGTTCAGTTGCTTTTCAGTTGTGTCCAGCTCTCCATGACCGTATTTGGGGTTTTCTTGGCAAAGATACTGAGTAGTTTGCCATTTCCTTCTCCAGCTTATTTTACATGAGACAGGGTTAAGGGGCTTGTCCAGGGTCACACCGCTAGTAAATGTCAGACCAGTTTTGAATTTAGGAAAAGTCTGACTGACTCCTGGCCTCACACTCCACTGCACCACCTAGCTGCCCAAAAGAGAGTTTATTGTGCAGTCGCGTCTGACTCATGAACCATATACTATCCATGAGATTTTCTTGGCAAAGATGCTGGAGTGGTTTGCTATTTCCTTCTCCTTCTCAACCAACAGAGGTTGCCCAGGATCACATAGCTAGTAAGTGTCTAAGGCCAGATTTGAACTCAGGCCTTCCTGATTCCAGGCCCAGCCCTCTATGCACAGAAATGTTGTAGAGCAGGAAGAGGTCTAAGAGGAACTTGTCCTGAAGGAAGGGAGGCCCAAGAGAGGTTATATAACTATTCCAGAGTTACTCTAGTAGTTTGGGTTATGCAGGAATGTGAATCCAGATCAATTTGTTCCCAATCCAGTACTCTTTCCAGCATACCATCCTGCCCTCTTGACACGTCTGTGTCTTCCATAGTGCTGAATCTATCGTAGGTGCTCAATAGACTTCTTGGTTGATGATGAAATCCCCGATGCTTCAAATGAAAACTTTAAATGAAATTGACTAACTGGATCAGATGACTTTTAATCTAAGATTCATCTAGCTAGCACCACATAGAGAAAGGCTTTGAAGACCTTGTTCAGAGTGTTAGATTTGATGTATCATATTGGGGAAATGAGACTTGTGGAACAGCTAAGTTGTAATCTTTCATTCAGATTGTTAAATTGTTCATACTTAATATAAAACAAAACGATGTTCTAAAACTTTAGTCACTCTTCAACTCTTGGTTTCATAAACTGCTTCCCTCCTCTTAATTCTTCTGTGAATTTCTGTGAAATAATCAGTGAAATAATACTGTATATTAGGAGAAATTATTATTAATACCTAATCATTTGGGGGGAGATTCAGAGCTGTCCTCTTCTTCTAAAGTCCTTTAAAAGTTCAGTCTGAAAGATATTACTGATAATGAGATTGCTTTAATTCTCCTCATGTTGGTCAGATCCCACTCAGCCTTACCAGGAATTTAATCTAGGGTAGGGAAGTCCATTGTGTTCTACTCAAGCTTGGGTGGAGGCAGATCCTTTTGTCTAGATAGCAAAGGTTGGGGGTGTTCTGAGTAGAAATAATTTCTCTGTCCCGGGTCACTCTCAGCCCCCCTGACAAGGGTATATAAACTGTGAGCCCCACTGCCATGATTGCTTTTGGTCTAAGAGAGATAGCCAAATGACCATCCTTTTATTAATACCCTGCTGGCCTTATTAATAAAATGATTAAATTACCCAGAAACTGTCTCTCGAAACTTTTTAAACATCGCACTATCCATTTCCACCTCCCTCTGTTAGAACTGCTAGAGCAGTTGCCGCATTAGACAACACTTTTTTGAAGAAATAAGAGAAAAGGATGTAGGATTAACAAATAAATAGTCCTCCAAATACATGAAATTAACTTTGGCCTCTTCCCCCATATTTCCCCTGTTATTCTGGTCTCTGCCTAACGTGGTTCCTTTCTGCACATTTAGAAAACAAAAGTTTTTTTCTGTTTATAATGTCTCAGAAATCAGTAGGGTTGAGAAACTTAGTAAAAACCTTCTGAATGATCAAATTTTAATGCAGTACTTTGGAAGAAAGCACTCTATAAATATAAGTTATTATTATTATTATTATTGTATTATAGTTTTCAAATAAAATATTCAGTCCTCATCTTATAGTTTCCTTTCAGTAGAGAAGAACTGATGTTTATATCTGTTCGTTATATTAGATGGCTTCATTATTCAGATTCTAAATGTTCAAGGTAGGCAAAAAAATAAAATTAAGATACTATTTGACCTTCACAAAGAGATAAAAATTTAAAAAGAGAGAGATAAAAATCAAGTTTTCTCCATGTCCTTGAAATCTACTATTAAAACTCTGCCTCAATTTATCCTTCTCTTGAAACTAAACTTGATTTTTCATTGCCTACATATTATATTCTTACATAATTAGCAAAAATAAAAAGATATTTCTTTATAATAACTCCAAGAGCTCATCATCCAATTAGCAACAAAAGAGTTTAAATGCTACTTATATCATAATTACTTCCAAAATTTTCTTATTGTAAATTTGGTCCCTTACCATTGTAAAATAAATTTACCCAAAAGAAAATTACCTTAGCATCTGAGGGAAATCGGAAAAATATTAACCATGTCATATAACTTAGAGATTACTTAGCTGCTTAAATTAGTTTAAAGCTGCTATATATAACATATACAAATTAATGATGAAAATGGTTATTTGCACACAGTATTCCAAAAGACCAGTTGTCTTGAGGTAGACAATATGAAGAGTTAATTGTCACCATGAATTAAAAATATACATCTCTTCTGCTTTTAGGTATTTGCTATTTTCTAAGCATTTCAAGAGCAGGAACCATGTTTTGATAGTTAATTTAAAAAAAAAAAATTTTTATTTTTTTGGTTCAGACCTATGACTTCATTGGTATAGGGAACTTGTAAGCAAACTCCCTTTACCAATGCAGATCAGAGCCTATTCTGCAGCTTAGTGTTAGGGTACCTGAAGGCACCAAAAGGTTAAGGGAATTCCCAGTCACGGAGTCAGCGTGTGTAGGCTGGCTTTCTAGCCTATGCCACATTATTCCTCAATTAATTATCATACTTTATATTACGTAGCTTTTATAGTTAGAAAACACTTCCACATACATCATCTCATTTGCTCTTCTACCAGCTGTTAGAGAGATGATGTGTTATTGTCTCTGTTTTACAAATAGTAAAATTGAGGCCTGGAAAAATTGGCTGGTCTGGGATCATACGTAGATTGAGTGTCAGAGCTAGGACTTAGGAATCCAAAGCCAGTGTTCCTTCTATTACAGCATGCTGCCAATAACTACACTAAGTGAATTGTGAGAACTCAATAAATATTATATATTGATTACTTCCAATGAACTTTTAACAAAAGAAGTGTGTAGCACACTAGATTCATAATTCAGTCTAGGTTCTCTTTCTAGCTTTTCTGCTAATTTGCTCTTAGGTGTTGGGTGAGCCACCTGTCTGTGACATATGTATAAATTGTTGATAGTATATTAAAAAGTCACTAAGAATGTTTTAGAGAAAAAGTTACTGCCTGCAACTTAACGCTTTTATAGAGACTTCAAGTTGGAAAACACCTTAGCAATCATCCAATTCAACTTAAATTGAGCTGAAATATGCCTCCTTTAAACTTAGACTTGTTGGCACTAGTTTTATCCTCTGAGAAGCAGCATGGCAAAGTGGATAGGACAATGGACGTGGAATCAGGAAGACCTAAGTTTAAATAATAGCTTAGATGCTAGCTAGCTATGTGACCCTGGAAAGTCATTTAACCTCTTTGAGCCTCAGTTTCCTCATCTGGAAAATAAGAGTGTTAGATTCATTGGCCACTAAGGTCTCTTCTGGCTCTAAATCTATGATTGTATGAACTATACAAGATAAATCTAATTCCTTTTGTGTCCTCAAGATTAATCCTATTTTGTGTCTTTTTTGTTTTTAAATGACTCCTTACTGTGTGTTCACAGAGTTTGTTGTTTGGGTATTTGATTTATGTAGATGGATCAGAAGGACCTCACCAGTTCAACATTGCTCTGTAAGAATGGTGAATAAGAGACTGATTTAGGTGGTCCTCCTGTTGTTTTACTGTTGTGAGGTAGTCTATTCAGACGGTGCTTTGGAAGCATCCAGTTAGTCTGTCAGCCGGAAAGCCACCTTTAACTTTCTTGCTTTTATGTGATAACGGAGCAGAATATTTCGAAGGATCTGTGATTTCATTAGTGTGGGCTCTTCCTCTGTAGTTTAGTTGGCTGTCTTTAGGAGTTGCTGTGTTTGAAAAATTCATCTCCCTGTAGCCAACCTGGTATCAATACTTTCTGAGGCTGGTTCTTGGATGACATTTATCCTTTACCAGGCCCATGCTCAAACATTTGATGTCACGCTGGTTTTAGCCCATCTGCCAAGACGGCTTACTGGGTGTGGCTGCTGTGCATGCTACAGCTTCTTGGAGCCACAGGTGAGTGTTGGGTGACAGGTGGACACCAAAGGTGGATGAGCAGTCCTGACGAGGGCTCAGCAAGCCCTCACACCAGAGGTGTTAGTCCTTGAACATCTATACACCCCATCTCGGCAGAGGGGCTAAACTAAGCCGAGGGTAACCAATGGGCCACAAACCCAGAAGGTTAAGGGGGCTGTCTACCCCAAGCATGTGAAGACTTCACTCAACCCTTTTCCCCCACCCCACCCCTGTTAGAATGGGCAGATGAAAACAATTTGTTCCAGTGACCATGAAGGCAACTGAAGCAGGCACTGTGGAGTGCTTAGAGCTTGGTCAGACATCGAAGACCCCAAGGTCATTCATTGCATCCCGGGCTGTTGCCAGTCATCTTGACTTCTGTCTTGCCGCTGGACCTCAGTGACTCTGGAAGAGAGAGTGAGGCTAAGTAAGACTTTGTGCAACTGTGTCTTACCTAAATCCATTTCACGTGTAAGTCCAGACATCACCCATGATGTCGTTGGTCCTCTTCAAAAATGAAAAACAACTATTCAAACATTTGATGTAGGATCTATCAGAGATTTAGAACTCCACACCATGATAATGCATTAATGGGAACATTGTAAAACAGAATACTGCCAATATTTTTCATTTTATTTCTGTGCTTAAAAAATGCAGGTGTCTGTAAAAATTTTTCCTTACGTCTGGTCACTCTAGCAGTCATTTGGTTCTTAACCTCATTCCTCGCTCTCAGATATTTAATTTGATCTTCCAGCAAGTCCTTTAGGTAGAATACAAATGTTAGGTAGCGTACCAGTGTTATAGATGGTAAAATTGAGGCCCAGAAAGGTTGAATTGCCTGAGATCACATAGGCACATAATAGATTTTTTTTTAAATAACACGTTTAGATTTACTTGTGTTTGATAGTCTGTGTGCTTGTGTGTTTTCCACTCCTGGTGCAGGTTGAAGAGTCAGCAGTGATCGGAGTAAGTGGTTATGTAGAATATCTTCGTGAGCAAGAAGTATCGGAGAGGTGGTTCCGGTACAATCCCCGCCTCACCTGCATCTACTGCGCCAAATCCTTCAACCAGAAGGGCAGCCTGGACCGCCATATGCGCCTGCACATGGGGATCACACCTTTTGTCTGCCGTATGTGTGGCAAGAAGTATACCCGCAAAGATCAGCTGGAGTATCACATCCGCAAGCACACAGGCAACAAACCCTTCCACTGTCACGTTTGTGGCAAAAGCTTCCCTTTCCAGGCCATCCTGAACCAGCACTTTCGCAAGAATCACCCGGGCTGCATGCCTCTGGAGGGGCCTCATAGCATCTCCCCTGAGACAACAGTCACATCACGGGGACAGGCGGAGGAAGAATCACCCCCACAGGAAGAGACAGTTGCCACGGGGGAGACTGCACAGGGATCTGTATCCACCACTGGGCCAGACTGAAAGATGGCAGGGGAAAGGGGGAGGGACCTCTGCCCCCTTCTGGGCCATAAGCAGCCAGCATCTGGGCCAAGGGCTGGTTCTTAGATTCACAAAATGCCGCATCGCTAGACAGGAAGAAGCTCCGAAGATGTTGCCAAACTAGAGGATTGACAAAGTACACAAGAACCCTCAAGGCACTTCCCTTCCCTTCCCCCACTTCACACCTCAGAAAATAATTAAGCAAAACAGCTTTCTGATTCAGGGATCAACAGCTTTGGTTTGTTAATTTTTTTAAGAAAAATTTTTTAAGAAAATCCAGGATAAACTGTCATTTAGTTACCAACCATGGTTTCAGCTCTGTGAATTGATCCAGGTGACTGACCTTGGTGGCTGTAATGCCCCAGCTCCAACAAGCACAGCCTCTGTCATCTGGATCAGCTGCAGGAGAGGAGGAGGAGAAGGTGGTAAGGACAAGGCCTTGCTCCTCTACCTCTCCTGCCAGTTATTACTGTTACCACAGTCAAAGAAAAAGAATAGTTCTGGTGGTCCTTATTGTTCTCAAGTTTCTTTTCAGCAGAATGTGATCGGGGGTTTTCTGTTTGCCCCATCCAGGCAACTGACTTCTTGCCCGACTGCTTCATGTAGGCAACCTCTTGCAGCAGTATTCTAGTAGGCAATACAACTATAAGCACCATAGGCTACCAAAAGTTAAGTTAGCAGCTGTGAGGTTTGCATTAGACTATGCTGCATTTGGGGGATTAGGTGTATGGTGAGGGAGATGGGGAGGAGAGGGAAACTTTGTGTGTCTGTAAATGTGGACTAGCACAGTATCACACTGCAACTTCTTGACTGAGGTGGGGGGCACACGACAGTGCTTTATACATCTCTAAGCACTAGGCAGTGGCTCCGGCCCAAATAGATTACTGAGCTGGAGGCTGACCACCAAAGTCTTGTCAAGTCTCTTTGGCTCCTGGTCTTACATAACAGCAATATTGTACATCAGAAATGTCACTTCCCAGTGAAATGGTGCTGGGTTGTGTTTTTAAATCCATATATCTCCATGTTTGATAAGTTTGATAAATTTTATATGAAGTTTTAAAAAAATTTTTGTGTTACAACAGCATTGTGGTTCAGGAAATATAAAGCTATTATTCCTATTGCAACCATAATTCAATTTCCCTCCTACAAATATAATAGCTTATATTCCCTGCTTTTTTGAAGAACCTCACTAATTCCTATGTCTCCAGTCTGCCAATTCACAAAAACTCTTCAACAAATTAGTGTTCGTTTGAGAGTATTGCTTTTTAGGTAGTACACAACAGGGCATTTACCGCAGAGCATCATCATGAATGTTCAAAATGAAGCCCCATTTGTTGCAGCAAATGAACAAAGGGTCAGTTTTGATCATGTTTGTTCTGTTGTTCGTTCTCAAGATTTAGCAATATTCACTGGGCCTCTTTGGCATTTTTAGGTATTATTCAGGTTTTCTCAAGTTAAAAATCACGGAGAGAGCTAACCAGATCTGCATATCCCCTGCACTGGATGGGGAGGGGAAAAAATTAGGCTTGTGCCTATAGTAGGGTTTTTTTGAATACTAAGGCATGCAGGTAAGTAGCAGATAACTGCTTTCAGACCCAAGTGCAAATACAAGAGAAAAATCTCTGGCCTCCCACATTGTTGGAAAGATTACTAGTTTTTTGTTGAGTTTTGCTTTAAAGTATTCAAAATCTGCAGTGGTTTAAGAGATTGCTTTGGTGCAGAGGTACATGAAAGTGAAAAAATAACTTACTGGGTGTTAGTCATGCTAGTGAAGGTGAACTGATTAAGAGCACACTGGTCAGGCCCTCCCCTTCTCAGAACGTTTTGTGAGCTATGGAAAAGTAGGCAAAGAAGAAGGATATTTTTCTGAAAACAGGAAGTTGGAGTGCAAAGGGTGGCTATTAAAAAGTAAATTAAGTGTGTTATTTGTTCATTAAATTATGAGTGCCCTACTGTATTCCCTCCTCAAAGAGAAATCGTTGCATTTTTTGGAGGGGCCCAGGAAGGCACAGTTTCTTCAAGTGGTGTGATGCTATCATGTAATGAGAACCTGCCCGTAAAGGGGAAAACCTGCTTCAGAGATTGCTCAGGAGCAGGTTGTTCCTTTTCAGGAGCTGCTTTTTGTTTTTAGAACTATGGACTGTGGCATCCGCTGTTGAGTGGGGCAGCAGTGTAACATGGCAAGACCTCTCTTCAGTGGCCATCTGAAGACTATCAGTGTTTCATGGCCAAGCCACCAGGGACTTTAGGTTAGACTGAAACCCTTAGAAGAGTTTTTCATCAGTCACTGATTGATATAAGAGGTATTTGGACAGATTTTGCCATATTTGAGTGGGAGGGAAAGCGGGGAGAAGTCCAGAAGATGCTGCTTTAGACATAGCTTTTAAACCTACCAAAAAAGGAAGAAGAAAATTTAAATCTATTCTGCTCATAAGAGAAAATGTGCCGGGAAATAGTTGCTTTCTTAGTTACTTAGACAATTTTAAATGAGGAAGTATAGCTTTTATACCATTACCAAACTGTAAAGATGAAGTTAAGTAACTGCTATAAAAGAAGAAGTTCTCCTAGCCAATGTCGTTAATTCCATGCAGGTATAGCAACAAAGAGCTCCAATAAAGTATGGACGTTATTCGTATAGGAAGACCATGAGTGTGTGGTGAGGGTTAGTCTCTTTTTTCCTTTATTTGACTTTTCACAGGTTTTTACTGTGTTGATACTGTGAGTAGAGGAAAATCCCAATTATCCAGGACCTAGCAGCACAATTCTCAGTGCTGGTTCTTTCCTCTTAGTTGGTCTAGCCAGAACCATAACACTCATGAAATCCTTGCCTAAGCTAGCTTTAAAGCAAAATAAGGCTTGGGAGAGCAGGCTTTTTTTTTTTTTTAACCTTTCCTTAGAAAAGATTTACTCTTTATAGAACTTCCCAAAATTCTTATTCAGGTCTCACTGTGAGATTGTCCTAGTTCATAGTTAAAGTCACTGTAAGGTCATTAGAATAGGGATTAGTAATATTCTTTCTACATTTGCTGAATGAGTGTGTGTGTGTGTGTGTGTGTGTGTGTGTGTGTGTATGAAGAATGCCTCTTAAATGTCCAAAATGGACTCTTTATTTGACTTAATTTGAACTGAACCACTGACAGCCAAATTTGAACCTCCGGATGTGTCCCCTGGGAAAATGAAACTGGGTTGGCACTAAGGGCTAAATTTTTTTTAAAAAATCATTTAACTGATACTAGTGTAACTTTGTCAGTTTTGTGTAAAATGATGGGCACTAGGTATGATCTCATTTCGTGGTCAGTAAGTGGTACTTTAGCAAAGAAGCTGCCTCTGTTCTCAGCAAGAAAACAAAAGATGACAACTGTCATCTCTTTATATTCTGAGATGGAACTTTCATTCTACTGAACTCTTACCCACCACCTGAATGAAAGTATAAATATACTATCTAAGTGTACAGTTATATTTTAATTGGGCACAAAGACTAATGCTTTATTCTCTCTACTCAAAAGACTCTAATGTTTTGTTTTCTCTTTACTCAGAATCAATATTTACCTCTGACCTCAGTTGAATTTATCATGTCTTGAGTTTCATTTGGTGTACATCATAAACCTTCCAAGACCAACTCATCAAAGGGGTGAGTTATGTCTCTTAATCTTCTAGGAGAAGCTAGGAGAGGATTGGAGAGAAAAGGAGGTAGATGGAGAAAGGCTTTTTTGTTTATTTTTAATTTTGTTTTGATTACTAGTATCTTCCCTGCTTTTGTGAAATGGGGTTTTCCAAAGATGGTATTTTCAGTAAAACTAAACATTTTCTCTTTATGGCAGTAGTTGAAAACTAGAATGCATTGGTTGGTAGTGCTCTGATAGGAGGGAGAATAATATGGTAATAAAGTTGTGTAACTGCTGAAAGCTTCAGTCTCTGGCTAGAGCAACTTTGATTAAGAATTCCGTTACTTTCTTATCACAGTATAAAGGCCACATTTTGATTAGGCAACAAGTTTGAAGATGTTATTTAAGAAATGCATAGGTGGGAAAAGGAGGCTTGGCTTGAAAAGAATTTATGAGGTATGGAAGATGCAGTGGCCATCATATCACCTTCATTGGAACCTGCTTACCAAATCCTCCTTTCAACTGAGTTGAATCTATTTACAATTATAAAATGCATTTAATTTATTTGTGCACCATATTGTAAAAAGACTAGCCTCTGCCACTTCAAAGATTGGAAGAGAGTGAAAAGTGCTGAAAGATGTATTTTCCTGGGGCATTCTGGGTTTGGAAAAACAGCTACATTTTAATCAATGACTGAGTCAGGGAAGTGAAGGCAAAACCATTAGCAAAGTACTTCCCCTGGAGCTATGGTTTGGTTTGAAAGAATTCTCCCAAGATTTACCATTGCTGCTATTTTGTCTCTAAAATAGAGGTTGGGGAGTTTGAGCTACACAGCAATAAATCACCAGTTCCTTTAAAAGGTTCTTTTTTCTTGGTCTCTCTTACAGACTCCTTTCTCTCTTTACCTGTTTTGTACTGCTTCCTCTAGATACTAAGGTCTTTGGCAGGGGGAACCCCACAGAATTGAACCTTCTGATTTGCCTCTCTCTTGAAGTTATGGTAATTCATTGATTAGTAACAGGCATGATAACATGGCTCTCTTAAAGTAGTTTCCATATAATGTAAGGTAAAGGTAAGCCTTAAAACCTTTTAAAAATAACCACCAAAGTAGAAAGGTATGTGCCTGTATATGTGTATATATGTATGTATATACACACACACATACCCCTTATTGCTTTTGTGAGATTATGTACCTGAAGTTCTTGTGAATTTACTGGAAGCAGACAGCAGAGTCAGTCCTGCTGGAAAAGTGTGTTTGGACTGTAATACTAAGTACTTTTTTTTTCAAAGGCCACCATCCCCTTTCTCTGGTATTAGCATTTTCCCCAAATAAACATAGTCTGTTTCAATTGAAATAACTGAAAGTTAAGCCACATTTCTTCATAATTCTGTATGTGTGAGAATGTGTGTGTGAGTGTATGTTTAAATACTTAATTGTTAAGGATTGTTGAATTTTAAGTTTCTCTTAGAATCACCCTTCTTCCAACTGTGAACAAGTTACTGTCTTATAATTTATTTCTTTCATGAATGTATGTTTGTCCATCATCTGTTTCATTGTGAATAGTGGTTCTCAGTGTTCTGGTAGCTTCTGTACACTAGGAGTGGCTGCACTTAGACATGGAGAGATATTGGAAATAGAATATTATGAGAAATAGAAATCCTTGGTGGGGAAAGTTTTCTTGTCCATCCTTCAAGGTTATATGTAGAGTCTTGAGTTAAAGGAATGTATATGGGCAAGATTCTCTGAGCTATACTGATATGTTCTTATGTATTTGTTACTCACTCTGTGAATTTAGCAGGTTTAGCTCAAAATATAGGCAAGACCCCTAGTTTTGTATAGTGCATATCTTGATTTAGCATTTTTTCTTGAGAATGCCTTCTTCCAGGATAGAGATTTGTGGGCCTATTCTGTATATCCAGTGAACACTCTTAATCCTCCCCTATTGAATAGGCATTTGTGTATAAGACTCCAGAATATTTATTCAAAGTTAAGTCACTGTGGAATCTACTCTGGTGCAAGAGCAATTATATTTATATAGGAAGAGAGCTTATACAGTGTTGCATTTCAGGGTTACCTAGGTTTTTATCCTCCTTAAAGAAATTAGGTTAGACAAAACCAATTGATAACCAAAATCTATCCTCCTTTGGGGGCTTCCCTTCAAAAGAAAACTAGTTTCAAGGATAATAACTTTCTTTAATCACAAATTTTCAACCTTTAAGATTTAAAAACCCTAATTTTAATCTCATTTATCTGTTTGGTTTTCCAAAATAATTTTGTAAACTTATTCTTTCCTTACTTTCTCTTTCAAGTCATCATTTTTTCCTTCTTTTTGCTTTCTCATTTTCCCCCCTTAACTTTCTTGTTCATCTGACAGCTTTTCTTTTGACCTTTTATGTAATTTCAGTGAGTGGTCTGAATTCACTTACATATGATGGACCAGTGACTTATCCCAGGCAGCCTTCTGCACATACCTAGGAACATCTGAATGGGTGCACTCCAGAGAGGTGGGATTTACCCACAAGGATAGATGAGACTGAATCTTGGGAGATACTCTTAAAGCAGCATAGTCAACTTTATTGTCAAGATAGAAGGTCAGTTTTTAAGTTGTTATTATTAATAACTAGATAATTCAAAAACAATATCCTCTAATCACCAACTAGAAGAATTCTGGTGGTAGCATTTAGGAAAGATTTTGGAACCTCCTTTACGTCTCTGAATACACTGCCTGCCTCTCTGCCCCCCCCAACCCCCCCTTCACAAAGGCACCCTTTTTGACTGGAGCAACTGAGGTCTTGAAAGGAGTTCAGAACTCAGCCGTGCTGAGTGTGATCTATTGTTGCATGTGATTTGAAGTGGTAGTGGTTGGATACTTCAGCAAAACAAGCTTGAGAAACCTAGCTGCCTTGTAGCCCTCATGTAGGAAAGCCAGTGATTACCAAACTGGTTTTTCATTCCTTCATCACATTGAGGAATTTAAGCATATACCAGGCTACTGCCCTCAGAGCTCCAGTTTCAGGCATTCCAAAGCATATATACAAATAGTTTTTTGCAAAAATTAGGATACCATCTGGATTTGTGTGACTCTCTGTCAGGCAAGTCATTCTGTTGAACTCCAGGCGGCAATAAGCCTTCCCAAGGCTAGAAGTTGATCCACTCTGTAGCAGCAATGCAAGTTTCGTTGCTTGTAGCACAAAGTTGTTCATCTTCAAAGAAGGCAAAGAAAACCTAGACCGATTTTTGGTGCTGGTGTTGATTTGGTGAAATTCTTCGACATTAAACCCCACTAACAGAGCCATAGACAGCCTTTGAAGAAGTCAGGTCACCTGAAATCCACTGATTCAGGTGAGAGTCAGAAAACAGGCTTCTTTTGGAAAGAATGCCTGGCTCCATCCCAATGTCCAAAACCACTCCCTGAGATACCTATATCAAGAAGGGTTTCCATGCAACCCCTAAATCAGCCTGCACAGAGCCCACAGGGTGAACTTAATCACATACCCCTGATTCAGATAGCCACTGTTCATATCTCTCAAGGGTAATATATCATTTCCCCCATTCTAGTGACAGATGCTAACACCTCATGTGAAAGCTGTGGCACAGTGGGATGAGATGGAATAGTTCAGTATCACAATGATCTAATTCAATGGAATTTAAATCTTGGGGCCCATACTGAGACCTAATTTAAGGGCATGTAATAAAACATCAGTTTTTTTGAGTCTACCTCTTTCTTATTAAAGAAACAAAGTCCATTTAGTATAATTGTGCTACAAGAGGCTGGTGGCTCAGACTGTTAAATTTGTCACACTGAGATTAAAGAATTGGTCATGGTAGAAGCTTTCTCATCTTTTGAGCCTTCTGTACCATGGCCTCTGAATCCATCTCAGGGAGCCAAAGTTGATTATTGAATTAAGAGGAGGGATGTTTATTGCTGGGAGCAAGCTTATGTACGTGACAGTTTACTGTACAATGGATTTATGGGGAATTAGGTAGCATCTTGGGATTTGCATAGATGTTAGTAGTTGAAAGTATGTTAGCGATTATAATTGGGAGCCTATGAAAGGGAGATGTGATCCAGATTCCACGTAATCACTTATCCTAAGGGATCAGAAATTACATTACAGAAAAATTACAAAAAAAACCTGTTCCACTACAAACCCTTTTTGATTGACAAACACAACCTCACCTTACTCTGCTTTTAAATCTATGCACTTTAAATGAAATTAAAGAAAATTTTACTCAGATAGCTTTGGAGGTTTCCTTAAAGAATACTTAGGCTTTAGGAAACTTCTGACCTTCCTCTGTACAGAGCAAAGATTATAGAATCCTAGACCCATAGCAGAAGCAGAATGACATCCTAGACAAGTTGTCATTTGAAGACAACTCTATTTGAAGCCCTCCAAGAATGAGGAACCCACTACCTCTCGAAACAGCCCATTCCACTTCTGGAAAAGATTGTTAGGAAATTCTTCCTTACATCAAGCCAAAATTTGCCTTTCTACAACTTTCACCCACTGGTATTTGTTCTGCACCCTGGGGCCAAGCAGAATAAGTTTTCCCTTTTCCACACAATTGGCCCTTCAAGTACTTGAAAACAACTGTCATACCGTCTGGAGTCTTCTTTTCTTCAGAGTAAACATTCCCAATTCCTTCAGTTGAGATGGCTGTGAGTTCCTTCATCCTCCTGATGACCCATTTCTGGATGTCCACCAACTTGCCGATGTTCTTCCTAAAATTCACTGCCCAGGATTGAGTATATTACTCCGCATAGTCTGATAGGGCAAAGTAAGGTGGGACTATGATCTCTTTTATTGGGCACACTGTCCTTTCATTGATGCAGTCTAGTGTTTGCGGCTGCCAGGTCACACTTGGTAAAGTACTTCAGTAGGTCCGTCAGGGTTTCATTGGTGTTGGTGAGTACTCCACCAATGCAGATTCCCCCCCAGACTTGTCTGTATGATTTTTTGTCCATACTGCCTCATATATCTTCAACCAAGGCTCTATGTACTTAATGATCTGGAAGCCCACTTTCTGGCTGATAATGCTTTGTGGGTCCCAGCTCCACACCTTATCTGTCCATATTTTATGCTTTGCTCTTGCTACATAGGATCATAGAGTTAGAGCTGGACAGAAACTTAGAAACCATCAAGTGCAACCTCTTTATTTTATAGAAGAGGAAACTGAGGCACAGAGAGTTTAAATGACTGTCCCAGGATTACAAAGCTACTAAGTGTCTGAGGGATTTAAATTCAGGTCTTTCTGGATTCCAAGGCCAGCACTCTGTCAACTGTTCTTCACTGTCTCATGACCAATCCACCTCTTTAATCCTTTCCTGTACATCCTTAAAAATTTATTTATGCCACTTTTTGCATACTCATAGTTGGTAATGTGCTGTTGTCTACTGAAGCCTCACACTGTGCTTTCAGGACCCAAAACTCTGAAATCCTTTTTATGTGAACTATTGTCTCACTGTCTGCGTAAGCAGTTGAGTTTTTGAACCCAAGATTCTCCCAACAGATAATAAATACATAGTTAATCCATCCCCTCTTGTATGGACAGTTCAAGACCACTTGGTCCATCCTTGACATCTGCATTTCTCTTACAAGTCTTCCGATTGCAGGACTTAATAAAAACTTATTTCTTTTCCCCTACCCTCATGTAACCTTCATGGCACCTGCCAGGCTGTGTGTGAGCTGGAGTACATTGTCATGGTGTTATTGAGTACAAAAGTGACTGGAGGAGTCTTTGGGCTGGTGAAACAGTTTTTCTCCAAGAAGTTGGTCATTCTCAATAGCCTTAGGTTACTTTATATCTCTTAGGTTGTTATTGCCACAGATTCAGGTCACCCATTTGCTAGGTCTTACAGTGAATGAATGATTGCTCCAAAGTCAGCCCTGGCAAAAGTTAGCGGGTGGGGACTTTTGAACTGTAATATCATGGCTTTCTTGTTCCATTACTTAACATTGAAAAACCTAATAAATGTTGGTACGGTAGTATCAGTTGATAACTGTTTTAGATTAGGGAAGGAGCTGACAAGACAATGGGACTGATTTCAGAAGCCAACAATAATATACCTCAGGCTGATTTGGATGTTTTCCAACCTTAGAACATCCTCCTGTATATGACGTGTAGCTTTGTTATGCAAGGTGAGCCAGAGTTACTACAGGGGGTGGAAAATGTGGTCTGTCAGCACACACTAATTTGAGACTTTAATGACATTTGTAGTGTTCAAGCAGGTGAGAGTAAGTGCTGTGGCCTGTTAAGCTTGTGTGGCTCTTCCCTCTGATCTGTAGGTTCCCTAACAGAAGCATGTTTTATGATAACTC